ATCATGATGTGTTATACAGTCTAACTGCAGTTGGAATGAATGACCTACAGAAGCGCTCCGTCCTGCGGCGAGGATGTTTAAGGGTATATTCAGACCAAGAAAGTCCTTTGGTTTGTTTGGTCCAGACCCAAAATGGACTTTTTTTTTCATTTGTTGTGGTTTGCATTCACATTGTGCTTTTTTGCAAACGAACTATACAGTAACTTGTAAACAAAGCCACGAGGCTGACGATCATTGCTCCCATTGGACAAAAAAAGGACAGGAGCGAGACTGAGCCGCAGACCCAGAAGAAAACCAGAAAGTCCTGCATGCTGCGGTTCTGATGCGCACATTTTTACTGATAGTACAACTGCAATAGCATTTAAAATGTCAGAAGCAGCTAATTTAATGGTGATTCCGTGATGATATTCTAATTTTGGAGCGGCGTCAGTAAATGTGTCCCGCAACCCAAAGGAGAAGAGGTGCTCTGTGTGTTCTGACCCACAACATGCTGCCAGCAGAGCTGCTAACAGGAGACGACAAAACAGGTATGACTTCAGTTTATTTAGCTCAGCATTGGTGGCCTGTGAAGTCCAAAAAGGTGCATGTTTAATGCAGTTGGTTCGGTTAGAGTCTGATCTGTATTCACACCAGAAGAGAACTAAAGTGAACTGCACCAGAGTTCGTTTGGAAGCGGACCGAGACCACCTCAAAAAGCAGGTCTCAGTCCGGTTGTTTGACCCGCACCAGAGTTCGCATGAGTGTATTCACGCCTGCACAAAAGGTCCGGACCAACGCTGGAAACAAACTGGTTCATTTAAAGCGGAGCAAATTATCAGGTCTGAATACGACATAAGTCTCTGACTGAAGGAGCTGCTCAGCCCCCCCACGGTTTCATGCAGAGGGTGGTGGGGGTTGTCCATGATGGCTGTCAACTTTGCCAACATCCTCCTCTCTTCCACCACTACTAGAGGCTCCAGAGGACATCCCAGCACAGAGCTTGACCTCYRTAHCAGTTTGTCCATCCTGTTCCTGTCCCTTTCAGTACATCCAGCCCCCAGCAGACCACTCCATAGAAAAAGGGCAGATGCTACCACCGTGTTGTAGAATGTCTTTAACAGAGACCTGCAGACACTGAAGGACCTCAGTCTCCTCAGTAGGTGGAGTCGACTCTGGCCCTTCTTATACAAGACGTCTGTGTTCGTAGTCCAGTCCAGCTTGTTGTTGAGGTGAACACCCAGGTACTTGTAAGAGTCTCAATGACTTTTCCATGGATGTTTACTGGTGCTGTGGGGGGTGACTTCCTCCTGAGGTCTATGACCATCTCCTTCATCTTGCTGGCATTGATTTGGAGAGCGTTGGTCTCACACCAGCCAACAAAGTCAATGATGACCCCCCTGTATTCCTCATCATTCCCGTCTGATACGCATCCAATGATGGCCGTATCATCCGAGAACTTCTGAAGGTGGCAGTGGTCCGAGTTGTACCTGAAGTCTGACGAGTACAGACTGAACAGAAAGGGTGAGAGGACCATGCCCTGTGGTGCCCCCTGCTGCAGACTAACACATCAGACACAGTCGCGGAGTCTCACATACTGTGGTCTGTTGGTGAGGTAGTCGATGGTCCAAGCTGTCAGGTGCCCGTCCACTCCACATTATGTTACAGCTATGCGGTCTCCAGTTGTGTTACACATCAGCAATATGTCTAAATATTTTTGTAGCACACGTAAATCATTTACCGCTCACTCGCATAGAAAATCATTGACTATAAATTACATATGTATATATGTGTATGTATATACTGTATACACTCACCGGCGACTTTATTAGGTACACCTGTCCAACTGCTCGTTAACACTTAATTTCTAATCAGCCAATCACATGGTGGCAACTCAGTGCATTTAGGCATGTAGACATGGCCAAGACAATCTCCTGCAGTTCAAACTGAGCATCAGTATGGGGAAGAAARGTGATTTGAGTGCCTTTGAACGTGGCATGGTTGTTGGTGCCAGAAGGGCTGGTCTGAGTATTTCAGAAACTGCTGATCTACTGGGA